AGGAAGGAATGAATGAATGAAATGAAATGAATGGAATGGAATGGAATGGAATGGAATGAATGAATGAATGAATGAATGAATGAAGGAATATACAAAATACTGACAAAATCCTAGTGTTCGTGGATGAACCCTGCTGTCTCCTGTGTTCGTGGATGAGTCTTTTTTGTGTTCGTAGATGAGCCTTTTTTGTGTTCGTGGATGAACCCTCTTCCCCAGTGCTGTACCTTCTTCACTTGTAACATGTATGGCCCTCAAGATTGTTTTTGCTGCTTTCTTTATCATTCATTTCCTGACAAGGTCTGTCTCAGACACTCTAGCCTTTAGCAGAGGTAGACGGCGCTTGACCCCTCTTGCCAGAAGGATTGTTTCACCCACTAAAGTTGAGGTATATAGTAAGCGCACGTGCATTCATGAGTTTATAAATAAAGCGCGAGTAAAACGAACGTCTGATAAAATCCATTAAATGGCAAGTGAACGACAACAGCGCGTGTAATTCACATGTATTTGAATTTGCTTTTTTGCACTCTCTGACGGGCTAATCGGGTACTTAATCATAATAGTACTATTTATGCGCGTATTCACTTCATTCTCTTCACTACTATATTATATTATATGTATTCACGGGCCTATACTCAGATTTAACCGGGGTACAATCGTTTTCGTGGGCGCAACAAGAGAAGGGGTTACTAATCTTTTCGTGGGTGCTCATGGTGCGTTGTTGAAGCCAGCTTGGTGGCCAAGGCATCAGGCAGCCATCCGATTGCAACGTATTCCGTGGCCAACATGGCTCAGCTGAGCAGCACAGGGGCATCCGCTTCAAGTTCGACAAGTGGGATCATGTGGAGGCCTGGCTTTCGTGCTTTTGGCAATGTGGGTGTTTGGGGCCTTGTTGTTTAGAGGGTTGCATTTGTAGTCTCCAGTCATCCCTGGAAGCCCAGGAGCTATGGGATGGCTGCGTCCGCCAGCCTTGAGCTTTGAAAGTGGGACTAGGGGTTCGCGGTAGCATAGATCTGCCCCCTTTGTGCGAAAGTGCGCTATTTCGTGCTTGTCGAGGACTTGAGACGGTGATAAGGACAGTAATCTTTCGCCTTGTTCCATTTTGTCTGGAGAACCTGATGCAGCTTGGCCCAGTTCGAGGTACCTTGTTGTCAACTTGAGACCCTTAAAGTCCTAAGCCTTGAGCCCTTCCCATGCACCGGAAGTACTTTTACGAAGGTCCGGAGCCAAGACCTGCGGCGCGGCGGCTGTTCTCCACATGTGCTGCTGAAGGCCTCAAGTTCTGGATCAGGTTCGCGTTGAGCATTGACTTATCCTATTTGCTGCAAAAGGCTTGATTGCTGAACACTGAACATCTTTTCGGGACCCAAACCACACATGGCCTGTTCTCTGAGCATCAGAGGCTGATCGACTAGCTGTAAGTTTCATTCATCTGGGACTTACCAACTTGCCATTAACCCATTACAAGGCGCAAGTGGCCCAACAAAAGAGAAGCACGACCAACATAATATGGCGGAAGCATCAGAAACAGCCTTCCATGGTGCCCTCACTCCGCATTCCGCTTTCTTCTACCATGCTAGCCGGAGTGAAGGTCTCTGCGCACCATCTGCTTGCAGCAAGCCTGCGCCAGACACAGCTGGCTTCTAAGCTTGAGGTCATTCATGAAAGCGTGGTAATGGTTTATTTTTTCATCCAGTATATCAACGCTGCCTACGCTGAGCTGCTCCAGTGTGAGTCAATGGCAATTCTTGCGCATGAAGATGTAGCTGTGAAAGGCGTGGACGTCAGCACACGACGTTCCTCAGGCAAGGTGGTACTTGTTGATGTAGGCTTGATGTCCTGACAACATGCACTCAGCGCTGCAAAATCTGGAATGTTTGCAAGAATTCATGCCTCCACGCCAGAAGTTCATGTTTACAGTGAGGCGAAGTACGACGAGCTCATTTGGGCGGGACCCTTGGTCAACGTACAAGGCTTGGCTTGCTTGCCTCAGTGAGTGTCCACTCCAGACTGCTCGCACGAGCTCCTTGTTGGATGATGCGATGACTTTGAACGCGCAATCCTCAGTAATTGAAGGTGAACGGCACGGAGGGACGTCTCTGCAGTGGTTCGTAAAGTGTCGAGCGTTTGTACTGTCCCTGCAGCAACTGCAGAAGCCCACCGTAACGAAGGCCTGCCCGTGCTCAACGGGAGACGTGCTGCTGGCACATAACAAGAGCCCGTACTCGGCGCTGTCGTTTGGGCACGCTGTGCTCATACTCGAACCGTCGGCGCCTCGTAATGCCTCAGGCGTGAACATTATGTTGCAAATCACATTTCCGGACGCTCGAAATCACTTTACATATTGTCCCGGTGCTATTTGCGCAGATTGGCCCAGGCCTGTCGTACTACACGACGGCTTTTGGGCATTTGCTGCAGTTGAGCAGCGCTCTCAGTCGACGTCGTGTTCATTGTTGAAAGACCCGGCCCTTGGAACCATTGGGAGAGTCTGAAAGAATGATTTTTGTGAGATTTGTGTGAACGGGAGTGTGAGCGGAAGTGTGAGGTTGAGTTTGAGCGGAGATGTAAGGTTGAGTGTGAGCGGGGATTCGGAGTGTGACCTGAAGTGTGAGGTTGAGTGTGAGCGCCAGTATTAGTGTGAGCGGCAGTGTCACGTTGCACACTTGCAATGGGGCTGCGATGAGCATCGCTGGCAGCTTTTGCTTCAGTTGCCACAGCACTCCGTATGTCACCGTAGTGGCTACGCATGGAAGTGTATTACCAACACGAACCGGGGGTCGGGGAGGCCTTACCTTTCTCACGAGATGCTTGGGGACCAGTTTTCAGCGCGAGGCTGCACCACCACCACTGCAACAATAACAACAGCAACAACAGCAACACCAGCAACAATAACAGCAACAGCGACAACAGCAACAACACAGCGAAACCCAGCCCCTCGGAAATCAATCCCAAAGAGGTGGGTTGGGTTTGTTGGGTTGGACTGGGCTGGATGTCCAGGCCACGCCCGGAATCAGGGTTTCTGGCCGCCTACGCACACTAAAATCCCTTTGGCGGGAGTGTGAGCGGGATTTCAGAGTGTGTGCAGGAGTGTGAGCAGGATCCCTGCCCTCCCTTTCCCCCCCTGTGACCTGATTACCGCCCAAAGCTGCTATACCCTTCTTGATAACAACAAAAGCAGGGCAATGAGGAAACAGCATGTTCGAGGCCAAAGTGCCATTCAATTCTCCGATTACTGCTGCACGCAGCTTGTAAGTTTGTAAGGCCTCAGGACATGTAGGCTGTGTAGGGCAAGGCCAGCAACGGAGGCCCCTGCATGTAGAATGTAGAAGTGTAGAAAGGCATCGAGCACAATCGCATTGAGTGACAATCCACGTGTGCTGCGTGCCTTGTGTTTTTTTCTGCAAGCGGTCCGGATATGCCAAGGTAGCGCAAATATCAAATACCTCTCTCGACTCCTCATGCTGAGTCGAGACTCGGCCACCACATCATCCCGCCTTTATCTCTCACCACTTCATTTGTTGTCATCATCTCGAAATCATGCAGTTGCACCCATGTTCACATCTCATCTCACGCTTATCTTTTGATTGGTGCAAGTAGCTAGTAAAGTAAAGAATCTCTCTTGTACGGTCATGCTGGTTTTTTTGCTCACACTTCTGCTCCCACTCTCACTTGTTCCGCACCTCATGTAGGGATGTTCCTGTCACTCTCGCTATGGTCACAGTTCCTCCTGGCATGGTGCTTGATGTGCACTCGCTGGCGCACACTGCTGCTCATTCACACTTTCGCTCACACTCAAGCTCACACTCAAGCACTCAAGCTCACACTTTTCTCACACTTCACGTTGGGATGGTTTTTTCATGCTCACACTCAAGCTCACAACAAAATCACGAAATAATTATTTCCTTGATTCCAGAGGTTGCAAGGCATCGGGACTCACAAGTTTATTGTACGGAATAAGCGAAAAGCCGAATGACGTGGTGCTTTGCCTTGCAGCAGGTGCACCAAGTTCCAGCACTCGTTCGAATTGGAAGAGAGGAGACCGGAGGCTTGGCCTTCCAGCACTCCAGGGCAGTTTTGAATAGCCCCCTCGATAACAGCCCAAAGCCCGCGTTTAGATTGATGGAAATTCATGTAAGTTCGATTTGGCGCAAGCTTCCTGACAAATGCCACTGGGAGCTTAGGATTCGTGAGTTGAGGATTGAGGGTGCAAAGGGCGAGAGGTTTTGCTGTTGCAAACTCTGGGTGTTCACGCTGCGAACTGGGTGCCAAAGGCTGATTCTTGATGAGTTCTGAAACATGCTTGCTCATTCAATCGTGGGATGAGAGGCTGGAGGAGGCCATGAAGCAACGCCCAAAAAAAAACGGACAGCTTTTCGACCGTTCTGCTCTGACGTCATCGCTGCCATGTGACCTCAGCTGGACAGCCAAGTGTGCCACGAACAGCGGGTGACCTCTGTTGATTTGCACTGGCCCGCCTGAGCCACAATCACGGGATGCTCTGGCTGAGTTTCATGGGGCGCTGGGCCGTAGACACATCCCACACGTAATGCGTAACAATTGTGCAAGTGAACCTTCAGCATGCTTGCGTTTTCTCGAAGACACTTCTAGTGCGTGTACTCGCGCCTCATCTTGCGGCGGCTGCCGCTGCTGCTTGCCGAGACTGCCCGCTGCAAGGTTGCACTGCCAGAAAGGCTGTCGACGTGCAGCCACGCCAGATCCTGAAGTCTGAAATGCCTTCTGTTTGATCTACGCAACACCTACGCACTGTTTGAGGCTGATGCCTGGGTGCCTAGTCCTAGTGGTCTTTAACAAACACAGAGTTTTGCACACACAATCGGCAATAAACATGAGAAAAAGTTGCAAAGCAAGTTTGCACAGCGCAAGCTTCAATTGGTTTCGGTTCTTGACACAGAAAAGCAAGCGAAAGAGCTGCACTGTGATTGATGGTTGTTTCATGTCGCTTGCTTGCTGCAAAACACCACTCGCTAGTCTTGTTGCGCTGCACGAGACTCTTGTCGCTTTTTTGTGATTCTGCCTGACTCTCGACGCTTTTGAGACTTTCGCTCCACAAGCGAGTCACGCGCTTGAGGATTTGCGGGCTTCCAGAGCCAGATATTTGCTGGCTTCCTCTGCGCTGTTGCAGCGCATTTGTTGACAGTCTAAGACAGGTTCGAACAAAGCTGGCTTCTCGTGGGTGGGGCTGTTAGGGATGAAAGTTGGTGACGGATTTGGTATTGCCAAGCCGTGGTTGGGGGTTGGGAGCGGGGGGGGGGGTTGGGGTGGCAGTCGACGCACATGTTGCACGCCAGGCGTCTTACGTCCGGCAAATTCCTTGCTCCGTGACGAGAAACCTTGGGTGATGATAGTCATGAGGATCAACACTTGTTGGGTTACAAAGTCCATGAGGTGGTGCGAGGTTTGGTTGGTTGGGCAAGACACTTTGTGGCTGGGGTGGGGGGGGGCCGGAATTTGAACAGTCCAACTTCAACCTTATTATGCAATGTAAACAGGATCCCCTGCTGGGTGCTGGGACTATAAGCATACTAGGCCTGGACGTTTCAAAACGTGCCGAGACCTTTTACGGAAAGTTACCTCCTTACAGGCTACTGGCGCAGTAACTTGAGTTTTGTTGCAACCTTAGTTTTGTGATTAGCTGTTGGTGGCTGTTGAGTGCTTTGGCCATCGCAGGCTTTCAAATGGTCCGTAAAGGTAATCGGCGGGCGCCAGGCGGGAAATGCACGCACCGACGTCTTTGAAGCCTCCGTACTTTTCTTCGCTCCGTTCTTGGAGGACTGCTTCTTCGAGCTCGGTGAGTGCCTTGAAGGTGGGGTTTTCTGAGAATTGACACAGAATATTGCTAGCGGGCCTCTCAGCTTGCAGGGCGCGCGTACGTGAGCGAAGGTGCCACTGCCCAGCACTTACGATGAGCTTCCTTCTCAGCTGTTCTGTTGTGCACCTTTACGCCGTAGAGGCAGAGCTTTGGGCTGCCCCTTGGTCCATCCGTTGGCAGCCCAATGCAGTGGTTGGGGATGGATGATGTCGGTGCGTGACTGCGGCACGCGCACGTAAGCTTCAGGTAGCACCTTCGATGAACGTCGTTCGGCTCAGGCCCCTGTGCCTTGTCTTGACCGATGTGTTTCCGGTTTTTGGTTGCGCGTCAGGTGCTTCGTGCCATTTGTGTCATGCCGCAGAAGTGGTCGCCGACTACGGCGCTCCTAACTTTCTTTACCCCATCGCACGGGCCTTAGCTCGGGCTTTATGAACTCTGTCCGAAACGTTGTGTACTAGGTGCTGTATCTTCACGGAGAAAGCATCCTCCGCCTGGGCGCAGCGTGCTCAGCCATTACCGACCTTGCAGCTGGCGAACATTACAAACAGTGATTCGAGGAATGAGCCAATATGCACATCGTTGCCATTGCAGTTCTGGCAGCCGACTTCTCAGCCCCGTAGCGTGAGCGAAATCGTTCTTCACTTCTTCCGCTTTCGCGACGTATGTCGCCGCCCCTGCTAACAACCACAACAACGACAACAATAACAGCAGCACAACAACAGCAGCAACAACAGCAAGAACGGCAGCAACAACAACCACAACAACCACAACAACCGCAACAATCACAGCAACCACAGCAACCACAACAACCACAACAACCACAACAGCCACAACAACCTCAACAACAACCAATTACCGCAGTTCCCGCAATAGCCGCAACAACCACAGTCACAACCACCTCGACGACGACATCTTTCAACAAGAAGGTTCGCAGAAGGCGTACTAGACTAGTTTGGGATGCGTAGCTGACCAAACGAATTGTTCCCTGCTGCCCTGGGGGGGGGGAGCGGTGGCTGGGTCGATGGACCTCATTTCCAGAAGCCGTCCGTCTCAGGATGTATGGGATGTTATTCGGCCTATGTCAGTTTGCTTGCGGTGCATTCAGCCACGTCAGTCATGTCAGTTTTCGCATGTTGTTTTGCAAACACTCCTTCTGCTACTTCACGTTGGCGTGTAAAGTTTTCATGCTCGGTTTTCCTGGAGGGTTTTGCTTGCTAAGTTTTCAGTTGTCAGTTTCCGCATGTTGCTTCAGTCTCAACATGAGTGCATATGCAATTTTCCCACATGAGTGCATGTGCAATTTTGAGGGGAAATCTTTGGGGAAATATTTTCCCAATTTGGTTCCTGCTATTTGTTTCGGGAACTTACCAGTTTTGATAAGTCTTTGTTCCGATTGCGACCTCGGGTCAACTGAAGGTGGGCTGTCAGCCTTCAGGATTTTTGTGTCCCGCCCTTCCCACCCTTGGTTGCTTTCGCTTTCTCTCGCGGCCTGTATAGTTTTCTCACTTGGGGGGCTACCCTGATGGGTACCTACGTGCCCACCTCATGCATTGCATGCAACTGCGTAAGATCTGAATTGAGTATGATTGGCCGCGCATTCAAAAACAGTTGTTCTGTTTGCAAACAGACCCAACATGTACACCCAACATGTTTCCCCCTTCTCTCTCGCTCTGTTGTGCACTTTAACGTCCAGCGGAGTTTCATCAGGGCATACAGGGTACAACTACATAATATCTTCTTAATGGCTTTTCAACTAAGAGCCGCCCCTGCTCATATTGTCATATTGTTTGTGTTCGACTGTTCTGCAGGCGATACCTTGAGGATTCCCCCGTTCGGCACTAAGAAAACTGCGTTGATTTTGAGCGGTGTTCCTTTGCCTGCCGGGTTGCTCAGGCATGGCCTCTTCACGAGCTCCACGGAGTCTCTTGAGTGCAAGCAGCTGCATGTGACGATCTGTTGAAGCGCACGTGGTGACTGCCATGCACCATCATTACCTAACATTGAGCCGACTGTGTTGGAGGCTGCGATGCCGGGCGACATGTGTGCTGCATTGGCCAAGCACAGAGCTTAGCTCGCAATACAGACAAGACAAACTCAACTCAGAGCCTATAGAGCCCTCAATTTCCAGCGTGGTGTAGACCCGTGCCACACCCTCAAAGGGCCAGTGACAGCCACAGTATAGGCGCGTTCCCGCGTGTGTACTTTCGAGTACATTTTCAGGTGTTCCGGACTTTCTGGGGATGGGGTGGGGTGGGGGGTGGGGGGCGGGGGGATAAGAACGTCATTCATATTGCATCATGCCCAAAACACGGGAATTACACCGTTTTCGCTTTTTTGTACAACATACTGCACAAGGATGCACTCGTCGACAAGGTCTGTGACACTGCACTGCCTTTCATGGAAAAAGCGACTCAACGCAACGCGATCCCCTCAAAACTTGCATATCTGCCTTATACAACGTAATAAGAAAAACGTACTTCAGCATCAAATCTTGTTTACAAGAAATTCTCAAATGTATTGCAACCTAAAATTCTCAAAACACTGCAAGGCACTCGCAACCCTCGTTTTCCTGCGGTGACACTGGGGATCCTTTCCACTTCCAAGGACAGGATGCTCAAGTGGCACACCTATCCCTACTCCTACTTTCTTTTCTGCATGGGCAGGGCGTCGCAGCCTTCCCGTGAGGTCCCTAGCCCATGCAGAAACGCGACTACAAGACAAAAGGCAAATACCCCCAATTAACCGTCTACTTACATAGGTTTAACTCAGAACACGCTTGGTCCAGGACCTCTTTACAAGGCGTCCATTTGAGGTCCTTCCCGCATAACCGATAACTCACCATCTCTTCCCTAGACGGCTTGTCCTTTTTTTGCGTTCGTTCATACACCGCATGAGAGTCTCATGTCTTGCGGGCGAGTTCCATTTGGAACATAGTGCCAGGAGCAGTGTGGAGCCTTAGCTCTGCACACTACGGACAAAGTAAAGAGTGTCGTGACGCCGTCTTTACACCGAGATCTTTCTGAACAGCAGCATGTAGGCATTGTGGTTTAGTTGGGTGAGATTGGCTTCACTTGCAGCTATGGGCCGGACATTGTCATCGTGCATGATGACGTCGCCGCTCACAAGTTGATTTCTCGTCTGGTAAGTGTCGAGAATTGCAAACATGCGGTAATGTCCGGTGTGAACACGATCCCCAATGTGCAGAATGCCGTCTAGCAGTCTATAGGCGGTGGCAACCGTGCGACCACTGGGTTCCGCACTGGGATCGTTCGGCTCCATGTTTTGGGCCGGTTCATTTGGTACCTGCAGCGCCGCCGATGGGGCCGGCTGCACATCGTGATACCTGAAGATCGGAAGGAAAACATTTCTATGTACAACGATCTTCTGCCGCAATTTACGCGGTTGCCCTCTTTGGTACTGGAAACGTGCCAGACATATGATAACTAGCTCCGGTGCATTGGTTAGTGCATTAACCACTTGAGCACCACGCCATCTTCGGATCACGTCCTGGACAGTGCTGGCTAAGTGCATTGCGCTCTTGGTATATGCCTGAGAGCATGTCTGCTTCAATGCTTCTACTTCCTATTTGTCCTGCTGCTTCTTCCATTAGGGGCAGTGCTTCTGCATGCTACTGCACCATAGCAATGGCATGCTGAATAGCAAGTTTTGCCCACTGGTTTGACTGATCAACATCTCTTGTCTTCTCAGTTGGGTGAATCAGAAAGTCGTGTTCTTAAACACTTCCTAGCATGAAGTCAGA